CCGCGTCCGCTGCACCGCGCGGGATGGGCCGTGACGGACGGCGCCTGCCGGGGTAGCAGTGTTCAATGGGGAGGGCTCCCAGCAGCCTCCCTGAGTGTAAGGTACTAGAGAAAAACAGCATGTAAATTAAATAAGGCCTTGTAAATTAATAATGGATTGTACTTGTATTTTTATATGAGTTGAGTGAATATTTTATGAGTGCAAAAATGTTTGTGTTTGAAAAAAGGAAAGAAGTGGTTAGAGTCTGTTGGATCAGCGCTGGAGGCCTCCTGGCTACGGTTTAGGTGCAGCGTCCTTGTGTCTGTCGTGAGTTGGGGGGCTTTTCTTCTTAAAATGTGTCACACACACTTGAAACTGTTGAGGAGTCGATGCGCGGAGCAGCAGCCGCGTGCAGGTGAGCAGCTCGCTCACACGTGCAGCAATGCTCAGCACTGCGGTTCCTTGCACGTGGAAAAGCCCTAGCACAAGTCTAGGGAAAACATAACCGGCTGAACCACAACACATGGTGAAGAGCGAGCCGTGATGTGAGTTTCCCAACCCCACAGCCTTGCAGAGCGTTGGCCATCGCTGAGGGCTGCATCCACCCCGCGCGCCGCTTGCAGGAACCTCTTTGTGCGGATCCTCTGCTTGCTGTGGCGTCTCCTGAAAAACCACTTTCCTCTCTTGTTTTTACCATATCTGGTCTGGGAGGAGATCGCTTCAGCCTTTCCCGTTAGCATCATGTTAGCATCATGCAAGACAGCCTATTTTAATGCAGAATCGATGGATTTTTGCAGCGGACTTCTGTAAATCTTCCTGGCAAGCTCCGGCAGCAGCGGGCGCTGGTGCTGGGCGAGCGGCTCTGCAGTTAACCGTAGCAGCAGGCTCAGCAGCCACCAAGGACCACGTTTTTAGATATTTCAGTGACTCTTTATTGAGCGTGGGGGCGCAGGACGGTGCAGAGAACGCGGCCTGCAGCCGGCTGGAGGATTGCACGGTGGTTTCCAGCATGGGTCTTTGCCCAATGGGGAGTGCGGCTCGGGCCACTGCCAAGCTGGAGTTGGTGGAAGGTGGTTGGAATATTTTGCAAAAGCAAAAAGATTGTCTATTCTAGCCCTTTGGTTAAGACTACAATGAAATTCATGTAGTGCTTTTCTTTCTATGCGTTCTTCTAGTTTCTTTCTCTGTGAATGTTTCTTACTTGCGGCTAACAACATGATGAACTTTCAGGAACATGGAAACCGTGCTGTGATTTCAGGGGGATGTGTGTTACTGAATGCCTAAAAATCCCGGCGTTCCCGCGCATCCCCGCGTCCGCGCTGCTGGATTCCAGCTCACGAGGCCGGCGAGGGAAACGTGAGCTGAGCGTTCCAAGGGGCAGGTCTGCAATTACACACGTAGCCAAAATTGAATTTCAATGGGATTTCTATTATCCTCGCTCTTCTACCAGCAAGAATAAAGTGTAAATGAAGCAAAAGTCTTTAGAGTTGCCAGCAGTTTGTTTTTATTATCTAATTTGATACATTCTCGTAATGATGTTCGCTGGCAGAAAGCCTTTAATATTTCATGACTTGCAGCGCAGTGTAAATATCCACAAAGGGAAGCAGATGTCTGTGTGTTTGCTCCGCGGCTGGGTGCTCAGGCAGGTGCAGCTCCCTACAAGGTCCCTTCCAGCCCCGCTCCGGAATTTTTCCTTCCATAAATTACTGGTTCATTCACTAGGAACCGAGCAGAGGTTCCTAATACTGGGTTTGCAGTGACCTGATTGTGTGTTAAGGCCCGGCCTGAATTCCGAGTCCTGCTCCTTCTTGGTTCTTTCTCTTTTGACATGCTGAGACTTTTTAAAAGTTAATATTTCATCAAGTATAATGCTATTAGAGACTTATTCTCACTTAGTTCACTTATCAGGCAGTGAGATGGCAATAAAAGAGAATGGCTCCTTTGAGACATTAATGCTTTGGAATAAATGATGTGCTAGAACAGAAATTTAATTAATTTACAGAGTATATTGATAGTCCCTTGTTACTGTGCAGTATATTTTTAATCTTCTTTAACATCTGTAGTAAAGTGTTTGAAAACCCCTGCAGTTGAGCAACTAGTAGATAATTAAGTAATAAGGGAAGAGCTTTCTGGAGGGGAAAAGATTCTTTTGAGAAAATACTGTCATAACGTGAACACAGCACTGCTGCTGTGATTTGCAGGGGAGAGAAAATAATATACTACCCGGCTGAATACTAAATAATAAGGATTTGAGTCCTGTTTTAAATGCAGTCTACAACTGCATCCCTGGAAATACAGTTCTGTTCTGTTCGCTCTGCAGCAAAGGTCTTATGGATGGCGCCCCGCAGTAGCAAATCTTGGAGGACGCGGCGCGCTTGTCCCGTTCGGTTTGGTTTGGGGCAGGCCGGGTGGGCAGACCTGTGTTTAAGGAGCAGCTCTTGGAGGTTTTACTGCCAGAAGATGAATGCAGAGATTTACATTGAACTAATATTGCCCTGTTTAGCACCCGTTGTGCCGTTCTCTCCACGTGGGTAATACCCTTAAAGAAAATGCATCAAGAACCAAAGGGTGTCCCTACGCGCGCACTGACCTTGCTCTGGGACCTGAAATTGTTTTAGCCTCCAGGCAATGTTCTTTGGTGACACAAATTAAGTTAATCGATTACAAAGTTTGTTGTGATACCGCTTTTCTCTTCTCTTTTAGCTAAAGCAGATGAAGCTTTGAAGGCCAAAGAGAGAAGCGAAGAAGAGGCCAAGAAAAGAAAGGAAGAAGGTAACAGTTTTCCTTTGGCAACGCGCTGGGTTTGTGGCAAGTCACAGACGGGTGTTTTGGGGACCCGACGTCGCCGGCCGGGCGGCCCTGCGCTCCGCGATCCGGCGCGTTGCTGGCGCCTGTAGTTGCTCCTCTTTGGTTACAAACTCCTCATTTTCTTGCTCTGTGTTTTCTCACCGCCCCTGAGCCCAAAGCCTGAATCATCAACCCAAGCCCAGATAATTTGTGAAGGCAGCGAAAGCTTCTTTGTGCTTCCTGCCCGGACAAGCTCCATGTGCGAGTGAGAAAATGAGGTCTCCTTCGCTGTTCGGATTCAGATAGATGCCGTTTTACAGGATTTTATGTTTTTACATGATTTCCCACCCCCATTTGTTTCTAGATTTAGATGTCTTTAATAAGCTCCAAATACCGTGAAGTAAGGCAAGCATCTTGCAAAACTCTAATGTAATCTCTATTAAAAATTCATGTGATTGATTGCCTTTTTTTTTTTTCTTATAAAATAGTTGGAAAAAAAAATGTTTTGCAAGTCTAGGTGTAATATTCAGGTCTTCTGGAATATCTCATCCCACACGTTTAATAAACCCGCAGCTCCGTGGTGTTTCCCAAGGGGCTGGGATGGGTGCTGGGCTCTCTCCCCCCTTCCAAGGTAGCCGGCAGTTGTTGCATCCCAAGGAAGTCCTGTCTTTTCTGTCACTTTTCTAGTTGTGTGACCGGGGTGCAGCGGGAGCAGGGACACGCTGGCGTGTGGGAGGCTGGGCCTGTGCAGGGTACCCGCAGAAACAGCGTTGGGTAACGGGCAGAAGCGGCAGCCCTCCCGCTGGCTCCCGTGAGCTTTCCCGGCACAGGGGCAGCGGGAACGCCGGGAATACCGGGCGGAGCGGGGCCAGCTGCGGCCCTCCCGCAGCCGCGTGGGGACCTGGCGGCTCTCGCTCTCCAACAGCAGCGATTCCGCAGCCGGGGAGGCAGCGGCGGGAGGAGCATCTGCGCGGCCCCGCGCTCAATGGAGCAGCCCTGCCGGGCCGGGAAGCGCCGCGGCGCTCGGCTGCACTCTGGGGAAATAAATTTGGCAGAAAATCAGCATGAGTAGATTTAATTATCACTCGGAGACCTTTCCCTTTTCTGGCTTAGTGATCCTGAAACGCGGCGGTTCCCTGAAATCTGTGCGGACGCTAAGCTTCGCTTCCCAATTTGTTCCTCCGCGCAATGATAAGCCAAGCAATTACTGGTTTATTGATTTTTCATCATGGCAAATTTAAAGTTGATTTTTTCCTGAAAAGGCAGGGGTGATTAAGTGTTTCCCCTCGGTTTAGTACGAGAGAGCTGTGTGGCAGAATCTAATATCCTGAGGTCAACCTCTGCAGGCAGATAATGCGGTGCCTCGGCCACGTGCTGAGGAGGGGAATCGGGAGTACAGATGCGATAGGATATGTGTGGAGACAGTTTAATTTGCTCCGGCTCTGCGGCCGCGTCGCGCGGGCCCTGCTCGGGAAGGCCCCGCCGGTGGCGCGAGGGACGGGGCTGTCCCATGGGCTGTGCAGAGCTGGTGCTGCCGCCCGAGCAGCCTTTCCGAGAGGTTTGTTTGGTGGCTGGGGGTGACGCGGGGGAGCTGGCCGTGCAGCAGCAGTTCTGCTTTATTAAAGCTTTAAAGCTCCCGTCTTCTCCTTCTGTATCCAACAGAAGGGCCAGTGGGGAAGCTGGCGGGATGTTTGCCTGGGCATGCAGGCACCCTTGGGAAGAGCCCCAGCATTCCCAGCTTTTCCTGGCTGCGGAGCAGGGATGGGAGAGGCAGGGAAGATGGCGAGGGCTGGCCCTGGGAACAGCAGGGAAAATGGACACAAGCGCTTTCCACGGATGCTGGCAGCAGAGCCCAGGTATCCAGAGTCCTGGATCAGCCCCGCAGGTCTCCCAGGCTCAGAACCGCATTTTGGGTGGGAACTCTCTCGCTTGACCACTTTTGGCTTCCCTCAGTAACAGTATCAGAAGTTCATAGGATAGAGTCTCTACGCATAGCTTATTTTTGCCTAATTGTGTGAATAACGCCCTATTTTCCCAGGTGAGAGGCTTAGTTAGACATAGAGCATCAAGCGCTTGGCAGAGGAGCCGCTCGCGTCCGCCGTTACAAACCCGCGGCCTGCTCCAAACCGTAGCTCCTGTTTATCCTCGCCCTCCGCCCGTCGGGCAGCATTCCCGCACGGAGACGCGCGCCCGGGCCCTGCCACAGCCCAGCAGGCGTGCGCGTTTTCCTGTTCAGCACAAGGGAAAGGCTGGTGTGACTGGGATTAAGGACCGCGGCTGAAGCGGCTACAGAGCGTCGACTGCGCGAGGCCAGCGCGTGGCTGCAGTAAGTTAAAGAGCCTTACTGGAAGGGATGGAAATACACTAAGCTGCCCTTAAGTTCATGAGTCACTGCCTTAGGTCATAGTTTTATGTTCAGTGAATTTTGGCGTGGTCGGTAGCTGAGGCCTCCGCAGAGCGTTGCGTCGGGGAGAAGACGCCGCTCGTGCCAAGCTCGGGCGCGGAGATGTGTCCTGTGTGCGCGTTTCATCTTTTTATTGCCATTTCAGCATTAAAAGTAAGCAGAAGCAAATGGAGGATTACACCAGGGCGGGAAGTTTTGTGGAGCTAGGGCGATGCAGAGCACGGCGCTGGGAAGAGCCTCCCAATCCCCGCCGAGGCTGCGGTGGCTCCGCGAATCGCGGTGTCCCCGCGTGGGGCAGGTTCCAGACACCCGAAGCAGGAGGCGCCGGTGGGGCCGGGGGGCTTCTGCAGGTCGCTCCATTGAAGTAGTTCTCACTCCTGCTTCTCACCCCAGGGATGGCTTTGCTCTGCTTCCATGCTAACACACGGAGCAGCGTTTGCCTGTTTCTGTACTTTGCTCCAAAGGGGAAAATCCAATCAATTTTTCTCTGGGTGACTGACATTAAGATATGACATCTCATGTAAATAAGCATTATTTTGAAACTAGTATTTTAATCATTAAGCCCTACTTTCCTAAGCACCCTAGGGATCACGAAAGCTCCTCTCTTGCACCTGCAGAGACAGGTGGAGCTTGGGCAGGTCATGGC